CAATCTGTTAAAAACATTGCTACTGCTAAATTTTAATGATCATTGCATCACCCAACAAAACTAATCTCTCAAGAATCCCAATAATAACAAAGTTGTAAATAATAATAATAATAATGGTAAAAGATAATATAAACGACATCCAAAAAGTGACAAGAATGCTCCGGTAAAACTATTACGTGATGTTTCTCATAAAGTTCGTGAGGTAAAAATATCTCTTTCGCTGATATGGCTAAAATAGTTGGTGATTTATTATTCCAGTGAAAGAGGAAAAAATGATAGAGAATGAGGCTGGTAGCCAAGGCAAAGAAGAATATTTGTATGACTGTCTACAAAACAACTGATAAATGGAAATAATATTAAGAGTATCTTGGAGATTCTAAAGAGAATCATGATCCAAATTGTAAATTATCCCCAGGCTTTTTTTTAAAATAATAACCTTGATTAATTTTTTAGATCGTGAATCAAATAAATAAATTCGAAGTTAATTCACTTCTAGTACAAGGTCAACTTCTCTTGGTTATGTGGGTGGTGGTGGTGGTGGTAGCAATAATGGTACCATGTTTAGAAAAAAATTGCATGATCATATTATAACACGACAAAAAAAAATAGTTGGAAAATTAAAATTTTTATTTTTAAACATGATATTAGATTTTGAATTCCTCGTAGTGCTGTCATTGTCTCATCCAATAATTAATATGAGTGTCGTCTTCTGGTTCTTTATAATGTACTTTTACAGCTTCAAAGAAATTTGTTATATATTCTTTTTTATATTCTTTCACGTAGTAAAAACCAACGTATTGCAAGCTTGATTTATTAAATTCAAAGAATCATTTATTCTTAGATTGATCAAGAATTTAAAATAAACAAAACACATATCCACACAGTTGGAACAATCCTATATTCGAATAAATTTGATTTAACGATCGAATTATTTACAAAAATACCTTGTCACTTAGTTTACCATCAATCAAAGTTCCAAATTTTCTATCGTCATTTTAACAAATTCCAAGGTTTAAAACTGATATAAAGATTATTTCCAATTTTACTAATGAAATGTTTTCTAGTGATGAAATAGGATGAAATATTATTGTAAGACATTTTGTAGGATATTTTATATAAACCATACGATCAATTTAATCATTTCCCCATAAGTACTTGGATCTTTTGAAAAATCACCCATGCTGTTGAATATTTTTTCTGCCTTTTCCAATTGCCCCAACTCCCCATAACTTTTAATAAATAGATTATCAATACTCGTGGATTTAATATTTTCTTTGGATATCTCATCATAATATTTTTCAGCTTCCTCAATTTTCTCATTGTTCACTAAAGCTTCTAATAATGCTTTGAAGACTTCACCGTTAGGGATAATATTATATGAAGATTTTAAAGAATGGAACACATCCAAGGCACTGTTTAAATCTTTTTGACAACATCCATATGCATAGATTAATGATGCATAATGCGTTGCTTGAGGCGTTATGCCTTTCTTTTTCATATCTTCCAAGATATCCAATGCTGACTTCATATCATATGGCTCAATTGTAGCATATAAATCTATTAATATTTTGTATGTGTGCGAATTGGGTTCTAGATTTCTTTGTTGGCTTTTGTGATAGAAAACAAGCGCTTTTTTTCTATTAGGGACATCTGTGGTATAGTATTGCATCATGGCATTATATTGTGTAATACGTGTTTGAATATTTGAATTTTCCAGCTGTTGAAACAATTCAAGTGCCTTTTTTTCATGTTTTGCTTTAGTGTAGGCTGAAATCAAAGCTCCATATGTGACAACATTGGGT